TCATTGTCTGATTGTTTGTCTGTCTGTGTGTCTGATCCTTGCAGTGTCACCTAAATGCATGTTTGTTGCTGTGTCTGTATCTATAAATGTTTGTATGGATGTATGTATCGTTACATGTCTGTCTGTCTGTTAGTCTGTCTCTATGTAAGTATGTATTGTAGATACATATGAATGTATATCTGTTGGTATCTATGGATGGATAGATGTTTGTCAGTTTTTCTGTCTAATTGTCTGTCAATCTGTCTGTCTGTTTGTATGTATGTGAAGAGACGGGGAAAAAAGCAGTACAGGAGAAATGAAACCAAGAAATGCCCAAGGATGCTAAGTCTAAATAGCGGTGTGTGCATATAATGAATTATTTAGACAAGGCATCCATAAGATAAAGAGGAGAAAAGAAAGAAAAATATGAGAGAAATCTCAAAACAAAGAAGAAATAGATGATAGAAAGGAGGGAGATAGATGAGAGAAAAGAGGAACCAGTTAAAGATCAAGTAACAAGTATATGTATGTAAGAGATGCATGTAATGTATGCATGTAATGAATGTAAGGAATGTATGTATCTTGTGATTGTAATATAAATATGTTTGTGAGAGATGCATGTTGTGTACTTATGTAATGTATGTAATCTATCTATGCATTGTAGGGAAGGGAGTTGGAGAGAAAAAGGAGAAAGAGCAGAAAAAAACCAGTGAAAGGTGCTTTAGGGAATGAAGAAAATGACCAAGAGAATGTATCAATGTAAGTACCAATGTCTGTCTGTCAGTGTGTTTGTCTGGTTGTCTGATCGTCTCCCTGTCTGATTGTTTGTCTCTTCGTCTTTCTGTCTGTCTGATTGTCGCCCTGTCTGATTGTTTGTCTCTTTGTCTGTCTGTCTGTTTGTCTGTCTGTGTGATTGTCTCATTGTCTGTCTGTTTGTCTCCCTGTCCGATTGTTTGTCTCTTTGTCTGTCTGTGTGAATGTGTCATTGTCTGACTGTTTGTCTCTTTGACTGTCTGTTTTTCTGATAGTTTCCCTGTCCGATTGTTTGTCTCTTTGTCTGTCTGTCTTTCTGTGTGATTGTGTCATTGTGTGATAGCATGTCTCTTTGTTTGTCTGTCTGTCTGTCTGTTTGTCTGATTGTCTCATTGTCTGATTGTTGTTTGTCTCTTTGTCTATCTGTTTCTCTGAGTGTCTCATTGTCTGATTGTTTGTCTCTTTGTCTGTCTCTTTGTCTGATCCTTGCAGTGTCATCTTAATTCATGTTTCTTGCTGTGTCTGTATCTATAAATGTTTGTATGGATGTATGTATCATTATATGCCTGTCTGTCTGTTAGTCTGTCTCTATGTAAGTATGTATTGTAGATATATATGAATGTACCTATATTATGAATGGACCTATATTATGAATGTAATGTACACATGTTTGTAAGAGATGCATGTTCTGTACGTATGTTATATATGTAAAGAATGGACCTATGTTATGAATGTAATGTAGGTATGTTTGTAAGAGATGCATGTTCTGTATGTATGTAATGTATGTAAAGAATGGACCTATGTTATGAATGTAATGTATGCATGTTTGTAAGAGATGCATGTTCTGTATGTATGTAATGTATGTAAAGAATGGACATATGTAATGAATGTAATGTACATATGTTTGTAAGAGATGCATGTTCTGTATGTATGTAATGTATGTAAAGAATATACCTATGTTATGAATGTAATGTACATATGTTTGTAAGAGATGCATGTTCTGTATGTATGTTATGTATGTAAAGAATGGATGTATGTTATATATGTATGCATGCATAAATGTATAAAGTGAAATGTTCCTAATGTGGTGAATATGATGTAAAGAATGTCATGTACATAATGCATGAATGTATGCATGTATGTAAAGAATGGACCTATGTTATAAATGTAAAGTACACATGTTTGTAAGAGATGCATGTTCTGTATGTATGTAATGTTTGTAAAGAATGGACCTATGTTATGAATGAAATGTATGCATGTTTGTAAGAGATGCATGTTCTGTATGTATGTAATGTATGTAAAGAATGGACCTATCCTATGAATGTAATGTACGTATGTTTGTAAGAGATGCATGTTCTGTATGTATGTAAAGAATGGACCTGTTATGAATGTAATGTACATATGTTTGTGAGATGCATGTTCTGTATGTATGTTATGATTGTAAAGAATGGATGTATGTTATGAATGTAATGTATGTATGAATTGTAGGGAAGGGAGTGAGAGAGAGAGGGGGAGAGGGGAAGATGGACCCAGTGAAAGGGGCTGTGGGGAATTAAGAGAATGACCAAGAGAATGTATCAATGTATATACCTATGTCTGGCAGTCTGTCTGTTTGTCTTATTGTCTGTGTTTGTCTGGTTGTCTGATTGTCTCCCTGTCTGATTGTTTGTCTCTTCGTCTTTCTCTCTGTCTGATTGTCGCCCTGTCTGATTGTTTGTCTCTTTGTCTGTCTGTCTGTTTGTCTGTCTGTGTGATTGTCTCATTGTCTGTCTGTTTGTCTCCCTGTCTGATTGTTTGTCTCTTTGTCTGTCTGTGTGAATGTGTCATTGTCTGACTGTTTGTCTCTTTGACTGTCTGTTTTTCTGATAGTCTCCCTGTCCGATTGTTTGTCTCTTTGTCTGTCTGTCTTTCTGTGTGATTGTGTCATTGTGTGATAGTGTGTCTCTTTGTTTGTCTGTCTGTTTGTCTAATTGTCTCATTGTCTGATTGTTGTTTGTCTCTTTGTCTGTCTGTTTCTCTGAGTGTCTCATTGTCTGATTGTTTGTCTGTTTGTCTGATCCTTGCAGTGTCATCTAAATGCATGTTTGTTGCTGTGTCTGTATCTATAAATGTTTGTATGGATGTATGTATCGTTACATGTCTGTCTGTCTGTTAGTCTGTCTCTATGTAAGTATGTATTGTAGATACATATGAATGTATATCTGTTGGTATCTATGGATGGATAGATGTTTGTCAGTTTTTCTGTCTAATTGTCTGTCAATCTGTCTGTCTGTTTGTATGTATGTGAAGAGACGGGGGAAAAAAGCAGTACAGGAGAAATGAAACCAAGAAATGCCCAAGGATACTAAGTCTAAATAGCGGTGTGTGCATATAATGAATTATTTAGACAAGGCATCCATAAGATAAAGAGGAGAAAAGTAAGAAAAATATGAGAGAAATCTCAAAACAAAGAAGAAATAGATGATAGAAAGGAGGGAGATAGATGAGAGAAAAGAGGAACCAGTTAAAGATCAAGTAACAAGTATATGTATGTAAGAGATGCATGCAATGTATGTATGTAATGAATGTAAGGAATGTATGTATCTTGTGATTGTAATATAAATATGTTTGTGAGAGATGCATGTTGTGTACTTATGTAATGTATGTAATCTATCTATGCATTGTAGGGAAGGGAGTTGGAGAGAAAAAGGAGAAAGAGCAGAAAAAAACCAGTGAAAGGTGCTTTAGGGAATGAAGAAAATGACCAAGAGAATGTATCAATGTAAGTACCAATGTCTGTCTGTCAGTGTGTTTGTCTGGTTGTCTGATCGTCTCCCTGTCTGATTGTTTGTCTCTTCGTCTTTCTGTCTGTCTGATTGTCGCCCTGTCTGATTGTTTGTCTCTTTGTCTGTCTGTCTGTTTGTCTGTCTGTGTGATTGTCTCATTGTCTGTCTGTTTGTCTCCCTGTCCGATTGTTTGACTCTTTGTCTGTCTGTGTGAATGTGTCATTGTCTGACTGTTTGTCTCTTTGACTGTCTGTTTTTCTGATAGTTTCCCTGTCCGATTGTTTGTCTCTTTGTCTGTCTGTCTTTCTGTGTGATTGTGTCATTGTGTGATAGCGTGTCTCTTTGTTTGTCTGTCTGTCTGTTTGTCTGATTGTCTCATTGTCTGATTGTTGTTTGTCTCTTTGTCTGTCTGTTTCTCTGAGTGTCTCAGTCTGATTGTTTGTCTCTTTGTCTGTCTCTTTGTCTGATCCTTGCAGTGTCATCTTAATGCATGTTTGTTGCTGTGTCTGTATCTATAAATGTTTGTATGGATGTATGTATCGTTATATGTCTGTCTGTCTGTTAGTCTGTCTCTACGTAAGAATGTATTGTAGATATATATGAATGTACCTATATTATGAATGGACTTATATTATGAATGTAATGTACACATGTTTGTAAGAGATGCATGTTCTGTATGTATGTTATATATGTAAAGAATGGACCTATGTTATGAATGTAATGTAGGTATGTTTGTAAGAGATGCATGTTCTGTATGTATGTAATGTATGTAAAGAATGGACCTATGTTATGAATGTAATGTATGCATGTTTGTAAGAGATGCATGTTCTGTATGTATGTAATGTATGTAAAGAATGGACATATGTTATGAATGTAATGTACATATGTTTGTAAGAGATGCATGTTCTGTATGTATGTAATGTATGTAAAGAATGGACATATGTTATGAATGTAATGTACATATGTTTGTAAGAGATGCATGTTCTGTATGTATGTTATGTATGTAAAGAATGGATGTATGTTTTATATGTATGCATGCATAAATGTATAAAGTGAAATGTTCCTAATGTGGTGAATATGATGTAAAGAATGTCATGTACATAATGCATGAATGTATGCATGTATGTAAAGAATGGACCTATGTTATAAATGTAAAGTACACATGTTTGTAAGAGATGCATGTTCTGTATGTATGTAATGTTTGTAAAGAATGGACCTATGTTATGAATGAATGTATGCATGTTTGTAAGAGATGCATGTTCTGTATGTATGTAATGTATGTAAAGAATGGACCTATCCTATGAATGTAATGTACGTATGTTTGTAAGAGATGCATGTTCTGTATGTATGTAAAGAATGGACCTGTTATGAATGTAATGTACATATGTTTGTGAGATGCATGTTCTGTATGTATGTTATGATTGTAAAGAATGGATGTATGTTATGAATGTAATGTATGTATGAATTGTAGGGAAGGGAGTGAGAGGGAGAGGGGAAGATGGACCCAGTGAAAGGGGCTGTGGGGAATTAAGAGAATGACCAAGAGAATGTATCAATGTATATACCTATGTCTGGCAGTCTGTCTGTTTGTCTTATTGTCTGTGTTTGTCTGGTTGTCTGATTGTCTCCCTGTCTGATTGTTTGTCTCTTCATCTTTCTCTCTGTCTGATTGTCGCCCTGTCTGATTGTTTGTCTCTTTGTCTGTCTGTCTGTTTGTCTGTCTGTGTGATTGTCTCATTGTCTGTCTGTTTGTCTCCCTGTCTGATTGTTTGTCTCTTTGTCTGTCTGTGTGAATGTGTCATTGTCTGACTGTTTGTCTCTTTGACTGTCTGTTTTTCTGATAGTCTCCCTGTCCGATTGTTTGTCTCTTTGTCTGTCTGTCTTTCTGTGTGATTGTGTCATTGTGTGATAGTATGCTCTTTGTTTGTCTGTCTGTATGTTTGTCTAATTGTCTCATTGTCTGATTGTTGTTTGTCTCTTTGTCTGTCTGTTTCTCTGAGTGTTTCATTGTCTGATTGTTTGTCTGTTTGTCTGTCTGTTTGTCTGATCCTTGCAGTGTCATCTAAATGCATGTTTGTTGCTGTGTCTGTATCTATAAATGTTTGTATGGATGTATGTATCGTTACATGTCTGTCTGTCTGTTAGTCTGTCTCTATGTAAGTATGTATTGTAGATACATATGAATGTATATCTGTTGGTATCTATGGATGGATAGATGTTTGTCAGTTTTTCTGTCTAATTGTCTGTCAATCTGTCTGTCTGTTTGTATGTATGTGAAGAGACGGGGGAAAAAAGCAGTACAGGAGAAATGAAACCAAGAAATGCCCATGGATACTAAGTCTAAATAGCGGTGTGTGCATATAATGAATTATTTAGACAAGGCATCCATAAGATAAAGAGGAGAAAAGTAAGAAAAATATGAGAGAAATCTCAAAACAAAGAAGAAATAGATGATAGAAAGGAGGGAGATAGATGAGAGAAAAGAGGAACCAGTTAAAGATCAAGTAACAAGTATATGTTATAAGAGATGCATGCAATGTATGTATGTAATGAACGTAAGGAATGTATGTATCTTGTGATTGTAATATAAATATGTTTGTGAGAGATGCATGTTGTGTACTTATGTAATGTATGTAATCTATCTATGCATTGTAGGGAAGGGAGTTGGAGAGAAAAAGGAGAAAGAGCAGAAAAAAACCAGTGAAAGGTGCTTTAGGGAATGAAGAAAATGACCAAGAGAATGTATCAATGTAAGTACCAATGTCTGTCTGTCAGTGTGTTTGTCTGGTTGTCTGATCATCTCCCTGTCTGATTGTTTGTCTCTTTGTCTTTCTGTCTGTCTGATTGTCGCCCTGTCTGATTGTTTGTCTCTTTGTCTGTCTGTCTGTTTGTCTGTCTGTGTGATTGTCTCATTGTCTGTCTGTTTGTCTCCCTGTCCGATTGTTTGTCTCTTTGTCTGTCTGTCTTTCTGTGTGATTGTGTCATTGTGTGATAGCGTGTCTCTTTGTCTGTCTGTCTTTCTGTGTGATTGTGTCATTGTGTGATAGCGTGTCTCTTTGTTTGTCTGTCTGTCTGTTTGTCTGATTGTCTCATTGTCTGATTGTTGTTTGTCTCTTTGTCTGTCTGTTTCTCTGAGTGTCTCATTGTCTGATTGTTTGTCTGTTTGTCTGTCTGTTTGTCTGATCCTTGCAGTGTCATCTAAATGCATGTTTGTTGCTGTGTCTGTATCTATAAATGTTTGTATGGATGTATGTATCGTTATATGTATGTCTGTCTGTTAGTCTGTCTCTATGTAAGTATGTATTGTAGATATATATGAATGTACCTATATTATGAATGGACCTATATTATGAATGTAATGTACACATGTTTGTAAGAGATGCATGTTCTGTACGTATGTTATGTATGTAAAGAATGGACCTATGTTATGAATGTAATGTATGTATGTTTGTAAGAGATGCATGTTCTGTATGTATGTAATGTATGTAAAGAATGGACCTATGTTATGAATGTAATGTATGCATGTTTGTAAGAGATGCATGTTCTGTATGTATGTAATGTATGTAAAGAATAGACATATGTTATGGATGTAATGTACATATGTTTGTAAGAGATGCATGTTCTGTATGTATGTAATGCATGTAAAGAATAGACCTATGTTATGAATAAATTGTATGCATGTTTGTAAGAGATGCATGTTCTGTATGTATGTAATGTATGTAAAGAATGGACCTATGTATGTACATAAATGTATATAAATGTAATGTACATAATGTAAGAGATGCATGTGCATATGTATGAATGTATATGTATGTAAAGAATGGACCTATGTTATGAATGTAAAGAAGAGGATGAAAATGTAAGAGATATATGAGAGAAATATATAATATGAATGTATGTAAATGTATGTAAAGAATGGACCTATGTGAATGTAATGTATGTATGTAAAGAACCATGTTAAAGAATAACAATGTGTGTAAGAGATGCATGTATGTATGTATGTAAAGAATGGATGTATGTTATGAATGTATGTATGTAAGAGATGCATATGTATATGTAATAAAGAATGGACCTATGTTATGAATGTAATGTATGCATGTTTGTAAGAGATGCATGTTTTGATTCTGTATGTATGTAAAGAATGGACATATGTTATGAATGTAATGTACATATGTTTGTAAGAGATGCATGTTCTGTATGTATGTTATGATTGTAAAGAATGGATGTATGTTATGAATGTAATGTATTGTATGTTTGTAAGATGGATGTTCTGGAATGATGGACCCAGTGAAATGCTGTATATGGAATGAAGAGAATGACCAAGAGAATGTATCAATGTATATACCTATGTCTGTCTGTCATGTTTGTCTGTATTGTCTGTGTTTGTCTGTTGTCTGATTGTCTCCCTGTCTGATTGAAATGTCTTTCTGTCTGTCTGATGCCCTGTCTGAATTTCTGTATCTGTAATGATTGTTTGTCTGTCTGATGTAATGTCTGTTTGTCTGTCTGTGTCTGTGTGATTGTCTCTGTCTGTCTGTTTGTCTCCCTGTGTGTATGAATGATTGTTTTCTCTTTGTCTGTCTGTGTGAATGTGTCATTGTCATTGTTGTTTGTTTCTTTGTCTGTCTGTTTGTCTGAAAGTCTCATTGTTGTTTGTCTGTTTGTCTGTCTGTTTGTCTGTGTGATTGTGTCATTGTGTGATAGTATGTCTGTGTGTGTTTGCATTGTCTATGTCTGATTGTAATGTCATTGTCTGATTGTTTGTCTCTTTGTCTGTCTGTTTGTCTGATATTTGCAGTGTCATCTAAATGTTTGTTGCTGTGTCTGTATCTATAAATGTTTGTATGGAAGTATGTATCGTTATATGTCTGTCTGTCTGTTAGTCTGTCTCTATGTAAGTATGTATTGTAGATACATATGAATGTATATCTGTTGGTATCTATGGATCGATAGATGTTTGTCAGTTTTTTCTAATTGTCTGTAGATAATATGAATCTGTTGTTATGAATGTAATGTACATATGTTTGTCTGTCTGTCTGTTTGTATGTATGTGAAGAGACGGGGGAAAAAAGCAGTACAGGAGAAATGAAACCAAGAAATGCCCAATGGATACTAAGTCTAAATAGCGGTGTGTGCATATAATGAATTATTTAGACAAGGCATCCATAAGATAAAGAGGAGAAAAGTAAGAAAAATATGAGAGAAATCTCAAAACAAAGAAGAAATAGATGATAGAAAGGAGGGAGATAGATGAGAGAAAAGAGGAACCAGTTAAAGATCAAGTAACAAGTATATGTATGTAAGAGATGCATGTAATGTATGTATGTAATGAATGTAAGGAATGTATGTATCTTGTGATTGTAATATAAATATGTTTGTGAGAGATGCATGTTGTGTACTTATGTAATGTATGTATGTATCTGTCTATGCATTGTATGTTGTCTGCATGTCTCTATGGAAGGGAGTTGAGAGAAAAAGGAGAAAGAGCAGAAAAATCCCAGTCAAAGGTGCTTTAGGGAATGAAGAAAATGACCAAGAGAATGTATCAATGTTGTACCAATGTCTGTCTGTCAATGTGTCTGTCATGTGTGTGTTTGTCTGATTGTGTTGTCTGATTGTCTTCTGTCTGATTGTTGTCTCCTGTCTGATTGTCGCCCTGTCTGATTGTTTGTCTCTTTGTCTGTTTGTCTGTCTGTGTGATTGTCTCATTGTCTGTCTGTTTGTCTCCCTGTCCGATTGTTTGTCTCTTTGTCTGTCTGTGTGAATGTGTCATTGTCTGACTGTTTGTCTCTTTGACTGTCTGTTTTTCTGATAGTTTCCCTGTCCGATTGTTTGTCTCTTTGTCTGTCTGTCTTTCTGTGTGATTGTGTCATTGTGTGATAGCGTGTCTCTTTGTTTGTCTGTCTGTCTGTTTGTCTGATTGTCTCATTGTTTGATTGTTGTTTGTCTCTTTGTCTGTCTGTTTCTCTGAGTGTCTCATTGTCTGATTGTTTGTCTGTTTGTCTGTCTGTTTGTCTGATCCTTGCAGTGTCATCTAAATGCATGTTTGTTGCTGTGTCTGTATCTATAAATGTTTGTATGGATGTATGTATCGTTATATGTCTGTCTGTCTGTTAGTCTGTCTCTATGTAAGTATGTATTGTAGATATATATGAATGTACCTATATTATGAATGGACCTATATTATGAATGTAATGTACACATGTTTGTAAGAGATGCATGTTCTGTATGTATGTTATGTATGTAAAGAATGGACCTATGTTATGAATGTAATGTAGGTATGTTTGTAAGAGATGCATGTTCTGTATGTATGTAATGTATGTAAAGAATGGACCTATGTTATGAATGTAATGTATGCATGTTTGTAAGAGATGCATGTTCTGTATGTATGTAATGTATGTAAAGAATGGACATATGTTATGAATGTAATGTACATATGTTTGTAAGAGATGCATGTTCTGTATGTATGTAATGTATGTAAAGAATATACCTATGTTATGAATGTAATGTACATATGTTTGTAAGAGATGCATGTTCTGTATGTATGTTATGTATGTAAAGAATGGATGTATGTTATATATGTATGCATGCATAAATGTATAAAGTGAAATGTTCCTAATGTGGTGAATATGATGTAAAGAATGTCATGTACATAATGCATGAATGTATGCATGTATGTAAAGAATGGACCTATGTTATAAATGTAAAGTACACATGTTTGTAAGAGATGCATGTTCTGTATGTATGTAATGTTTGTAAAGAATGGACCTATGTTATGAATGAATGTATGCATGTTTGTAAGAGATGCATGTTCTGTATGTATGTAATGTATGTAAAGAATGGACCTATCCTATGAATGTAATGTACGTATGTTTGTAAGAGATGCATGTTCTGTATGTATGTAAAGAATGGACCTGTTATGAATGTAATGTACATGTTTGTGAGATGCATGTTCTGTATGTATGTTATGATTGTAAAGAATGGATGTATGTTATGAATGTAATGTACGTATGAATTGTAGGGAAGGGAGTGAGAGGGAGAGGGGGAGAGGGGAAGATGGACCCAGTGAAAGGGGCTGTGGGGAATTAAGAGAATGACCAAGAGAATGTATCAATGTATATACCTATGTCTGGCAGTCTTTCTGCTTGTCTTATTGTCTGTGTTTGTCTGGTTGTCTGATTGTCTCCCTGTCTGACTGTTTGTGTCTTTGTCTTTCTGTCTGTCTGATTGTCGCCCTGTCTGATTGTTTGTCTCTTTGTCTGTCTGTCTGTTTGTCTGTCTGTGTGATTGTCTCATTGTCTGTCTGTTTGTCTCCCTGTCCGATTGTTTGTCTCTTTGTCTGTCTGTGTGAATGTGTCATTGTCTGACTGTTTGTCTCTTTGACTGTCTGTTTTTCTGATAGTCTCCCTGTCCGACTGTTTGTCTCGCTGTCTGTCTGTCTTTCTGTGTGATTGTGTCATTGTGTGATAGTGTGTCTCTTTGTTTGTCTGTCTGTATGTTTGTCTAATTGTCTCATTGTCTGATTGTTGTTTGTCTCTTTGTCTGTCTGTTTCTCTGAGTGTTTCATTGTCTGATTGTTTGTCTGTTTGTCTGTCTGTTTGTCTGATCCTTGCAGTGTCATCTAAATGCATGTTTGTTGCTGTGTCTGTATCTATAAATGTTTGTATGGATGTATGTATCGTTACATGTCTGTCTGTCTGTTAGTCTGTCTCTATGTAAGTATGTATTGTAGATACATATGAATGTATATCTGTTGGTATCTATGGATGGATAGATGTTTGTCAGTTTTTCTGTCTAATTGTCTGTCAATCTGTCTGTCTGTTTGTATGTATGTGAAGAGACGGGGGAAAAAAGCAGTACAGGAGAAATGAAACCAAGAAATGCCCAAGGATACTAAGTCTAAATAGCGGTGTGTGCATATAATGAATTATTTAGACAAGGCATCCATAAGATAAAGAGGAGAAAAGTAAGAAAAATATGAGAGAAATCTCAAAACAAAGAAGAAATAGATGATAGAAAGGAGGGAGATAGATGAGAGAAAAGAGGAACCAGTTAAAGATCAAGTAACAAGTATATGTATGTAAGAGATGCATGTAATGTATGTATGTAATGAATGTAAGGAATGTATGTATCTTGTGATTGTAATATAAATATGTTTGTGAGAGATGCATGTTGTGTACTTATGTAATGTATGTAATCTATCTATGCATTGTAGGGAAGGGAGTTGGAGAGAAAAAGGAGAAAGAGCAGAAAAAAAACCAGTGAAAGGTGCTTTAGGGAATGAAGAAAATGACCAAGAGAATGTATCAATGTAAGTACCAATGTCTGTCTGTCAGTGTGTTTGTCTGGTTGTCTGATCGTCTCCCTGTCTGATTGTTTGTCTCTTTGTCTTTCTGTCTGTCTGTGTGATTGTCTCATTGTCTGTCTGTTTGTCTCCCTGTCCGATTGTTTGACTCTTTGTCTGTCTGTGTGAATGTGTCATTGTCTGACTGTTTGTCTCTTTGACTGTCTGTTTTTCTGATAGTTTCCCTGTCCGATTGTTTGTCTCTTTGTCTGTCTGTCTTTCTGTGTGATTGTGTCATTGTGTGATAGCGTGTCTCTTTGTTTGTCTGTCTGTCTGTTTGTCTGATTGTCTCATTGTCTGATTGTTGTTTGTCTCTTTGTCTGTCTGTTTCTCTGAGTGTCTCAGTCTGATTGTTTGTCTCTTTGTCTGTCTGTTTGTCTGATCCTTGCAGTGTCATCTAAATGCATGTTTGTTGCTGTGTCTGTATCTATAAATGTTTGTATGGATGTATGTTTCGTTATATGTCTGTCTGTCTGTTAGTCTGTCTCTATGTAAGTATGTATTGTAGATATATATGAATGTACCTATATTATGAATGGACCTATATTATGAATGTAATGTACACATGTTTGTAAGAGATGCATGTTCTGTACGTATGTTATATATGTAAAGAATGGACCTATGTTATGAATGTAATGTAGGTATGTTTGTAAGAGATGCATGTTCTGTATGTATGTAATGTATGTAAAGAATGGACCTATGTTATGAATGTAATGTATGCATGTTTGTAAGAGATGCATGTTCTGTATGTATGTAATGTATGTAAAGAATGGACATATGTTATGAATGTAATGTACATATGTTTGTAAGAGATGCATGTTCTGTATGTATGTAATGTATGTAAAGAATATACCTATGTTATGAATGTAATGTACATATGTTTGTAAGAGATGCATGTTCTGTATGTATGTTATGTATGTAAAGAATGGATGTATGTTATATATGTATGCATGCATAAATGTATAAAGTGAAATGTTCCTAATGTGGTGAATATGATGTAAAGAATGTCATGTACATAATGCATGAATGTATGCATGTATGTAAAGAATGGACCTATGTTATAAATGTAAAGTACACATGTTTGTAAGAGATGCATGTTCTGTATGTATGTAATGTTTGTAAAGAATGGACCTATGTTATGAATGAAATGTATGCATGTTTGTAAGAGATGCATGTTCTGTATGTATGTAATGTATGTAAAGAATGGACCTATCCTATGAATGTAATGTACGTATGTTTGTAAGAGATGCATGTTCTGTATGTATGTAAAGAATGGACCTGTTATGAATGTAATGTACATATGTTTGTGAGATGCATGTTCTGTATGTATGTTATGATTGTAAAGAATGGATGTATGTTATGAATGTAATGTATGTATGAATTGTAGGGAAGGGAGTGAGAGGGAGAGGGGGAGAGGGGAAGATGGACCCAGTGAAAGGGGCTGTGGGGAATTAAGAGAATGACCAAGAGAATGTATCAATGTATATACCTATGTCTGGCAGTCTGTCTGTTTGTCTTATTGTCTGTGTTTGTCTGGTTGTGTGATTGTCTCCCTGTCTGATTGTTTGTCTCTTCGTCTTTCTGTCTGTCTGATTGTCGCCCTGTCTGATTGTTTGTCTCTTTGTCTGTCTGTCTGTTTGTCTGTCTGTGTGATTGTCTCATTGTCTGTCTGTTTGTCTCCCTGTCTGATTGTTTGTCTCTTTGTCTGTCTGTGTGAATGTGTCATTGTCTGACTGTTTGTCTCTTTGACTGTCTGTTTTTCTGATAGTCTCCCTGTCCGATTGTTTGTCTCTTTGTCTGTCTGTCTTTCTGTGTGATTGTGTCATTGTGTGATAGTGTGTCTCTTTGTTTGTCTGTCTGTTTGTCTAATTGTCTCATTGTCTGATTGTTGTTTGTCTCTTTGTCTGTCTGTTTCTCTGACTGTCTCAGTCTGATTGTTTGTTTCTTTGTCTGTCTGTTTGTCTGATCCTTGCAGTGTCATCTAAATGCATGTTTGTTGCTGTGTCTGTATCTATAAATGTTTGTATGGATGTATGTATCGTTACATGTCTGTCTGTCTGTTAGTCTGTCTCTATGTAAGTATGTATTGTAGATACATATGAATGTATATCTGTTGGTATCTATGGATGGATAGATGTTTGTCAGTTTTTCTGTCTAATTGTCTGTCAATCTGTCTGTCTGTTTGTATGTATGTGAAGAGACGGGGGAAAAAAGCAGTACAGGAGAAATGAAACCAAGAAATGCCCAATGGATACTAAGTCTAAATAGCGGTGTGTGCATATAATGAATTATTTAGACAAGGCATCCATAAGATAAAGAGGAGAAAAGTAAGAAAAATATGAGAGAAATCTCAAAACAAAGAAGAAATAGATGATAGAAAGGAGGGAGATAGATGAGAGAAAAGAGGAACCAGTTAAAGATCAAGTAACAAGTATATGTATGTAAGAGATGCATGTAATGTATGTATGTAATGAATGTAAGGAATGTATGTATCTTGTGATTGTAATATAAATATGTTTGTGAGAGATGCATGTTGTGTACTTATGTAATGTATGTAATCTATCTATGCATTGTAGGGAAGGGAGTTGGAGAGAAAAAGGAGAAAGAGCAGAAAAAAACCAGTGAAAGGTGCTTTAGGGAATGAAGAAAATGACCAAGAGAATGTATCAATGTAAGTACCAATGTCTGTCTGTCAGTGTGTTTGTCTGGTTGTCTGATCGTCTCCCTGTCTGATTGTTTGTCTCTTTGTCTTTCTGTCTGTCTGATTGTCGCCCTGTCTGATTGTTTGTCTCTTTGTCTGTCTGTCTGTGTGATTGTCTCATTGTCTGTCTGTTTGTCTCCCTGTCCGATTGTTTGTCTCTTTGTCTGTCTGTGTGAATGTGTCATTGTCTGACTGTTTGTCTCTTTGACTGTCTGTTTTTCTGATAGTTTCCCTGTCCGATTGTTTGTCTCTTTGTCTGTCTGTCTTTCTGTGTGATTGTGTCATTGTGTGATAGCGTGTCTCTTTGTTTGTCTGTCTGTCTGTTTGTCTCATTGTCTGATTGCTGTTTGTCTCTTTGTCTGTCTGTTTCTCTGAGTGTCTCAGTCTGATTGTTTGTCTCTTTGTCTGTCTGTTTGTCTGATCCTTGCAGTGTCATCTTAATGCATGTTTGTTGCTGTGTCTGTATCTATAAATGTTTGTATGGATGTATGTATCGTTATATGTCTGTCTGTCTGTTAGTCTGTCTCTATGTAAGTATGTATTGTAGATATATATGAATGTACCTATATTATGAATGGACCTATATTATGAATGTAATGTACACATGTTTGTAAGAGATGCATGTTCTGTACGTATGTTATATATGTAAAGAATGGACCTATGTTATGAATGTAATGTAGGTATGTTTGTAAGAGATGCATGTTCTGTATGTATGTAATGTATGTAAAGAATGGACCTATGTTATGAATGTAATGTATGCATGTTTGTAAGAGATGCATGTTCTGTATGTATGTAATGTATGTAAAGAATGGACATATGTTATGAATGTAATGTACATATGTTTGTAAGAGTATGTTCTGTATGTATGTAAAGAATGGACATATGTTATGAATGTAATGTACATATGTTTTGTAAGAGATGCATGTTCTGTATGTATGTAATGTATGTAAAGAATATACCTATGTTATGAATGTAATGTACATATGTTTGTAAGAGATGCATGTTCTGTATGTATGTTATGTATGTAAAGAATGGATGTATGTTATATATGTATGCATGCATAAATGTATAAAGTGAAATGTTCCTAATGTGGTGAATATGATGTAAAGAATGTCATGTACATAATGCATGAATGTATGCATGTATGTAAAGAATGGACCTATGTTATAAATGTAAAGTACACATGTTTGTAAGAGATGCATGTTCTGTATGTATGTAATGTTTGTAAAGAATGGACCTATGTTCTGAATGAAATGTACGCATGTTTGTAAGAGATGCATGTTCTGTATGTATGTAATGTATGTAAAGAATGGACCTATCCTATGAATGTAATGTACGTATGTTTGTAAGAGATGCATGTTCTGTATGTATGTAAAGAATGGACCTGTTATGAATGTAATGTACATATGTTTGTGAGATGCATGTTCTGTATGTATGTTATGATTGTAAAGAATGGATGTATGTTATGAATGTAATGTACGTATGAATTGTAGGGAAGAGAGAGAGAGAGGGGGAGAGGGGAAGATGGACCCAGTGAAAGGGGCTGTGGGGAATTAAGAGAATGACCAAGAGAATGTATCAATGTATATACCTATGTCTGGCAGTCTGTCTGTTTGTCTTATTGTCTGTGTTTGTCTGGTTGTCTGATTGTCTCCCTGTCTGATTGTTTGTCTCTTTGTCTTTCTGTCTGTCTGATTGTTTGTCTTTCTGTTTGTCTGTCTGTGTGATTGTCTCATTGTCTGTCTGTTTGTCTCCCTGTCTGATTGTTTGTCTCTTTGTCTGTCTGTGTGAATGTGTCATTGTCTGACTGTTTGTCTCTTTGACTGTCTGTTTTTCTGATAGTCTCCCTGTCCGATTGTTTGTCTCTTTGTCTGTCTGTCTTTCTGTGTGATTGTGTCATTGTGTGATAGTGTGTCTCTTTGTTTGTCTGTCTGTCTGTTTGTCTAATTGTCTCATTGTCTGATTGTTGTTTGTCTCTTTGTCTGTCTGTTTCTCTGAGTGTCTCATTGTCTGATTGTTTGTCTGTTTGTCTGTCTGTTTGTCTGATCCTTGCAGTGTCATCTAAATGCATGTTTGTTGCTGTGTCTGTATCTATAAATGTTTGTATGGATGTATGTATCGTTACATGTCTGTCTGTCTGTTAGTCTGTCTCTATGTAAGTATGTATTGTAGATACATATGAATGTATATCTGTTGGTATCTATGGATGGATAGATGTTTGTCAGTTTTTCTGTCTAATTGTCTGTCAATCTGTCTGTCTGTTTGTATGTATGTGAAGAGACGGGGGAAAAAAGCAGTACAGGAGAAATGAAACCAAGAAATGCCCAAGGATACTAAGTCTAAATAGCGGTGTGTGCATATAATGAATTATTTAGACAAGGCATCCATAAGATAAAGAGGAGAAAAGTAAGAAAAATATGAGAGAAATCTCAAAACAAAGAAGAAATAGATGATAGAAAGGAGGGAGATAGATGAGAGAAAAGAGGAACCAGTTAAAGATCAAGTAACAAGTATATGTATGTAAGAGATGCATGTAATGTATGTATGTAATGAATGTAAGGAATGTATGTATCTTGTGATTGTAATATAAATATGTTTGTGAGAGATGCATGTTGTGTACTTATGTAATGTATGTAATCTATCTATGCATTGTAGGGAAGGGAGTTGGAGAGAAAAAGGAGAAAGAGCAGAAAAAAACCAGTGAAAGGTGCTTTAGGGAATGAAGAAAATGACCAAGAGAATGTATCAATGTAAGTACCAATGTCTGTCTGTCAGTGTGTTTGTCTGGTTGTCTGATCGTCTCCCTGTCTGATTGTTTGTCTTTGTCTCTGTGTCTGTTGCCCTGTCTGATTGTTTGTCTCTTTGTCTGTCTGTCTGTTTGTCTGTCTGTGTGATTGTCTCATTGTCTGTCTGTTTGTCTCCCTGTCCGATTGTTTGTCTCTTTGTCTGTCTGTGTGAATGTGTCATTGTCTGACTGTTTGTCTCTTTGACTGTCTGTTTTTCTGATAGTTTCCCTGTCCGATTGTTTGTCTCTTTGTCTGTCTGTCTTTCTGTGTGATTGTGTCATTGTGTGATAGCGTGTCTCTTTGTTTGTCTGTCTGTCTGTTTGTCTGATTGTCTCATTGTCTGATTGTTGATTGTCTCTTTGTCTGTCTGTTTCTCTGAGTGTCTCAGTCTGATTGTTTGTCTCTTTGTCTGTGTGTTTGTCTGATATTTGCAGTGTCATCTAAATGCTGTGTCTGTATCTATAAATGTTTGTATGGACATATGTATCGTTATATGTCTGTCTGTCTGTTAGTCTGTCTCTATGTAAGTATGTATTGTAGATATATATGAATGTACCTATATTATGAATGGACCTATATTGTGAATGTAATGTACACATGTTTGTAAGAGATGCATGCATGTTCTGTACGTATGTTATGTATGTAAAGAATGGACCTATGTTATGAATGTAATGTAGGTATGTTTGTAAGAGATGCATGTTCTGTATGTATGTAATGTATGTAAAGAATGGACCTATGTTATGAATGTAATGTATGCATGTTTGTAAGAGATGCATGTTCTGTATGTATGTAATGTATGTAAAGAATGGACATATGTTATGAATGTAATGTACATATGTTTGTAAGAGATGCATGTTCTGTATGTATGTAATGTATGTAAAGAATATACCTATGTTATGAATGTAATGTACATATGTTTGTAAGAGATGCATGTTCTGTATGTATGTTATGTATGTAAAGAATGGATGTATGTTATATATATATGTATGCATGCATAAATGTATAAAGTGAAATGTTCCTAATGTGGTGAATATGATGTAAAGAATATCATGTACATAATGCATGAATGTATGCATGTATGTAAAGAATGGACCTATGTTATAAATGTAAAGTACATGTATGTAAAGAATGGACCTATGTTATAAATGTAAAGTACGTATGTTTGTAAGAGATGCTTGTTCTGTATGTATGTAATGTTTGTAAAGAATGGACCTATGTTATGAATGAAATGTATGCATGTTTGTAAGAGATGCATGTTCTGTATGTATGTAATGTATGTAAAGAATGGACCTATCCTATGAATGTAATGTACGTATGTTTGTAAGAGATGCATGTTCTGTATGTATGTAAAGAATGGACCTGTTATGAATGTAATGTACATATGTTTGTGAGATGCATGTTCTGTATGTATGTTATGATTGTAAAGAATGGATGTATGTTATGAATGTAATGTACGTATGAATTGTAGGGAAGGGAGTGAGGGGGAGAGGGGAAGATGGACCCGGTGAAAGGGGCTGTGGGGAATTAAGAGAATGACCAAGAGAATGTATCAATGTATATACCTATGTCTGGCAGTCTGTCTGTTTGTCTTATTGTCTGTGTTTGTCTGGTTGTCTGATTGTCTCCCTGTCTGATTGTTTGTCTCTTCGTCTTTCTGTCTGTCTGATTGTCGCCCTGTCTGATTGTTTGTCTCTTTGTCTGTCTGTCTGTTTGTCTGTCTGTGTGATTGTCTCATTGTCTGTCTGTTTGTCTCCCTGTCTGATTGTTTGTCTCTTTGTCTGTCTGTGTGAATGTGTCATTGTCTGACTGTTTGTCTCTTTGACTGTCTGTTTTTCTGATAGTCTCCCTGTCCGATTGTTTGTCTCTTTGTCTGTCTGTCTTTCTGTGTGATTGTGTCATTGTGTGATAGTGTGTCTCTTTGTTTGTCTGTCTGTCTGTTTGTCTAATTGTCTCATTGTCTGATTGTTGTTTGTCTCTTTGTCTGTCTGTTTCTCTGAGTGTCTCATTGTCTGATTGTTTGTCTGTTTGTCTGTCTGTTTGTCTGATCCTTGCAGTGTCATCTAAATGCATGTTTGTTGCTGTGTCTGTATCTATAAATGTTTGTATGGATGTATGTATCGTTACATGTCTGTCTGTCTGTTAGTCTGTCTCTATGTAAGTATGTATTGTAGATACATATGAATGTATATCTGTTGGTATCTATGGATGGATAGATGTTTGTCAGTTTTTCTGTCTAATTGTCTGTCAATCTGTCTGTCTGTTTGTATGTATGTGAAGAGACGGGGGAAAAAAGCAGTACAGGAGAAATGAAACCAAGAAAAGCCCATGGATACTAAGTCTAAATAGCGGTGTGTGCATATAATGAATTATTTAGACAAGGCATCCATAAGATAAAGAGGAGAAAAGTAAGAAAAATATGAGAGAAATCTCAAAACAAAGAAGAAATAGATGATAGAAAGGAGGGAGATAGATGAGAGAAAAGAGGAACCAGTTAAAGATCAAGTAACAAGTATATGTATGTAAGAGATGCATGTAATGTATGTATGTAATGAATGTAAGGAATGTATGTATCTTGTGATTGTAATATAAATATGTTTGTGAGAGATGCATGTTGTGTACTTATGTAATGTATGTAATCTATCTATGCATTGTAGGGAAGGGAGTTGGAGAGAAAAAGGAGAAAGAGCAGAAAAAAACCAGTGAAAGGTGCTTTAGTGAATGAAGAAAATGACCAAGAGAATGTATCAATGTAAGTACCTATGTCTGTCAGTCAGTGTGTTTGTCTGGTTGTCTGATCGTCTCCCTGTCTGATTGTTTGTCTCTTCGTCTTTCTGTCTGTCTGATTGTCGCCCTGTCTGATTGTTTGTCTCTTTGTCTGTCTGTCTGTTTGTCTGTCTGTTTGTCTCCCTGTCTGATTGTTTGTCTCTTTGTCTGTCTGTGTGAATGTGTCATTGTCTGACTGTTTGTCTCTTTGACTGTCTGTTTTTCTGATAGTGTCCCTGTCCAATTGTTTGTCTCTTTGTCTGTCTGTCTTTCTGTGTGATTGTGTCATTGTGTGATAGCATGTCTCTTTGTTTGTCTGTCTGTCTGTTTGTCTGATTGTCTCATTGTCTGATTGTTGTTTGTCTCTTTGTCTGTCTGTTTCTGTTTCTCTGAGTGTCTCATTGTCTGATTGTTTGTCATCTAAATCTCTTTGTCTGTCTGTTTGTCTGATCCTTGCAGTGTCATCTAAATGCATGTTTGTTGCTGTGTCTGTATCTATAAATGTTTGTATGGATGTATGTATCGTTATATGTCTGTCTGTCTGTTAGTCTGTCTCTATGTAAGTATGTATTGTAGATATATATGAATGTACCTATATTATGAATGGACCTATATTATGAATGTAATGTACACATGTTTGTAAGAGATGCATGTTCTGTATGAATGTTATGTATGTAAAGAATGGAATGTTATGAATGTAATGTATGTATGTTTGTATGAGATGATTGTTCTGTATGTATGTAATGTATGTAAAGAATGGACCTATGTTATAAATGTAAAGTACACATGTTTGTAAGAGATGCATGTTCTGTATGTATGTAATGTATGTAAAGAATGGACATATGTTATGAATGTAATGTACATATGTTTGTAAGAGATGCATGTTCTGTATGTATGTAATGTATGTAAAGAATATACCTATGTTATGAATGTAATGTACATATGTTTGTAAGAGATGCATGTTCTGTATGTATGTTATGTATGTAAAGAATGGATGTATGTTATATATGTATGCATGCATAAATGTATAAAGTGAAATGTTCCTAATGTGGTGAATATGATGTAAAGAATGTCATGTACATAATGCATGAATGTATGCATGTATGTAAAGAATGGACCTATGTTATAAATGTAAAGTACACATGTTTGTAAGAGATGCATGTTCTGTATGTATGTAATGTTTGTAAAGAATGGACCTATGTTATGAATGAAATGTATGCATGTTTGTAAGAGATGCATGTTCTGTATGTATGTAATGTATGTAAAGAATGGACCTATCCTATGAATGTAATGTACGTATGTTTGTAAGAGATGCATGTTCTGTATGTATGTAAAGAATGGACCTGTTATGAATGTAATGTACATATGTTTGTGAGATGCATGTTCTGTATGTATGTTATGATTGTAAAGAATGGATGTATGTTATGAATGTAATGTACGTATGAATTGTAGGGAAGGGAGTGAGAGGGAGAGGGGGAGAGGGGAAGATGGACCCAGTGAAAGGGGCTGTGGGGAATTAAGAGAATGACCAAGAGAATGTATCAATGTATATACCTATGTCTGGCAGTCTGTCTGTTTGTCTTATTGTCTGTGTTTGTCTGGTTGTCTGATTGTCTCCCTGTCTGATTGTTTGTCTCTTTGTCTTTCTGTCTGTCTGATTGTCGCCCTGTCTGATTGTTTGTCTCTTTGTCTGTCTGTCTGTTTGTCTGTCTGTGTGATTGTCTCATTGTCTGTCTGTTTGTCTCCCTGTCTGATTGTTTGTCTCTTTGTCTGTCTGTGTGAATGTGTCATTGTCTGACTGTTTGTCTCTTTGACTGTCTGTTTTTCTGATAGTCTCCCTGTCCGATTGTTTGTCTCTTTGTCTGTCTGTCTTTCTGTGTGATTGTGTCATTGTGTGATAGTGTGTCTCTTTGTTTGTCTGTCTGTCTGTTTGTCTAATTGTCTCATTGTCTGATTGTTGTTTGTCTCTTTGTCTGTCTGTTTCTCTGAGTGTCTCATTGTCTGATTGTTTGTCTGTTTGTCTGTCTGTTTGTCTGATCCTTGCAGTGTCATCTAAATGCATGTTTGTTGCTGTGTCTGTATCTATAAATGTTTGTATGGATGTATGTATCGTTACATGTCTGTCTGTCTGTTAGTCTGTCTCTATGTAAGTATGTATTGTAGATACATATGAATGTATATCTGTTGGTATCTATGGATGGATAGATGTTTGTCAGTTTTTCTGTCTAATTGTCTGTCAATCTGTCTGTCTGTTTGTATGTATGTGAAGAGACGGGGGAAAAAAGCAGTACAGGAGAAATGAAACCAAGAAATGCCCATGGATACGAAGTCTAAATAGCAGTGTGTGCATATAATGAATTATTTAGACAAGGCATCCATAAGATAAAGAGGAGAAAAGTAAGAAAAATATGAGAGAAATCTCAAAACAAAGAAGAAATAGATGATAGAAAGGAGGGAGATAGATGAGAGAAAAGAGGAACCAGTTAAAGATCAAGTAACAAGTCTGTCTGTTTGTCTAATTGTCTCGTTTGTCTCTTTGTCTGTCTGTTTGTCTGATTGTCTCCCTGTCTGATTGTTTGTCTCTTTGTCTGTCTGTCTTTCTGTATGTATGTAGGTAAGGTAAGGTAAGGTATGTATGTATGTATGTATGTATGTATGTATGTATGTATGTATGTATGTATGTATGTAATGAAATGTATGTAATGTATGTATGTTTTGAATGTATGTATGTATGTATGTATGTATGTAATGTATGTATGTAATGTATGTATGCAATGTATGTGATGTATGTATGTATGTATGTATGTATGTATGTATGTATGTAATGCATGTATGTATGTATGTATGTATGTAATGTATGTATGTATGTAATGTATGTATGTATGTAATGTATGTATGTTATGTATGTATATTATGTATGTATGTAATGTATGTATGTATGTATGTATGTATATATGTATGTATGTATGTATGTATGTATGTATGTATGTATGTATGTTATGTATGTATGTAATGCATGCATGTAATGTATGATTGTAATGTATGTATGTAATGTATGCATGTAGTGTATGCATGTAATGTATGTATGTAGTGTATGTATGTATGTATGTATGTATGTATGTATGTATGTATGTAATGTATGTATGCATGTATGTATGTATGTATGTATGTATGTATGTATGTATGTATGTATGTAATGTATGTATGTATGTATGTATGTATGTATGTATGTATGTATGTATGTATGTATGTATGTATGTATGTATGTATGTATGTATGTATGTATGTATGTATGTATGTATGTATGTATGTATGTATGTATGTAATGTAATGTATGTATGTAATGTATGTAATGTATGTAATGTATGTATGTAATGTATGTATGTAATGTATGTATGTAATGTATGTATGTAATGTATGTATGTAATGTATGCATGTAATGTATATATGTAATGTATGTAATGTATGTATGTATGTAATGTATGTATGTATGTATGTATGTATGTATGTATGTAATGTATGTATGTAGTGTATGTATGTAGGTATGTGTATGTATGTATGTATGTATGTATGTATGTATGTATGTATGTATGTATGTAGTGTATGTATGTATGTATGTATGTATGTATGTATGTATGTATGTATGTATGTATGTATGTATGTATGTATGTATGTATGTATGTATGTATGTATGTATGTATGTATGTATGTATGTGTATGTATGTATGTATGTATGTATGTATGTATGTATGTATGTATGTATGTATGTATGTATGTATGTATGTATGTATGTATGTATGTATGTATGTATGTATGTATGTATTTAATGTATGTATGTATGTATGTAATGTATGTATGTATTTATGTATGTAATGTATGTATGTAATGTATGTATGTATTGTATACGTATGTAATGTATCTGATGTATGTTATGTATGTAATGTATGTATGTATGTATGTATGTATGTATGTATGTATGTATGTATGTATGTATGTATGTATGTATGTATGTATGTATGTATGTATGTATGTATGTATGTATGTATGTATGTATGTATGTATGTATGTATGTATGTATGTATGTATGTATGTATGTATGTGTATGTATGTATGTATGTATGTATGTATGTATGTATGTATGTATGTATGTATGTATGTATGTATGCATGTATGCTTGTTTGTATGTATGAATGTAATGTATATAATGTATGTATGTAATGTATGTATGTAATGTATGTGATGTTTGTAATGTATGTATGTAGGTAATGCATGTATGTAATGTATGTAATGTAATGTATGTATGTATGTATGTATGTATGTATGTATGTATGTATGTATGTATGTAAGTATGTATGTATGTATGTATGTATGTATGTATGTATGTATGTATGTATGTATGTATGTAATGTATGTATGTATGTATGTATGTATGTATGTATGTATGTATGTATGTATGTATGTATGTATGTATGTATGTATGTATGTATGTATGTATGTATGTATGTATGTATGTATGTATGTATGTATGTATGTATGTATGTATGTATGTATGTATGTATGTATGTATGTATGTATGTATGTATGTATATGTAATGTATGTATGTATGTATGTATGTATATGTATGTAATGAATGTATGTATGTATGTAATGTATGTATGTATGTAATGTATGTATGTATGTATGTATGTATGTATGTATGTATGTATGTATGTATGTAATGTATGTATGTATGTATGTAATGTATGTATGTAATGTATGAATGTAATGTATGTATGTATGTATGTATGTATGTATGTATGTATGTATGTATGTATGTATGTATGTATGTATGTATGTATGTATGTATGTATGTATGTATGTATGTATGTATGTATGTATGTATGTATGTATGTATGAATGAATGTATGTATGTATGTATGTAATGTATGTATGTATGTATGTATGTATGTATGTATGTATGTATGTATGTATGTATGTATGTATGTATGTATGTATGTATG